CCCCGCCTGCAGGGGGCGCCACGCGCCGCGGGGCCCGCTCTGCTCCTTACCTGCTCGCCGCTCCCGGGCCGCGCGCCGCTCCCCGGCATGCCCCGCGCCGCCGTCACGTGTGCAGCGCGGCGCGCTGGGAGGTGGAGTCCTGAGGGGCGGCCCCGCAACGAGCGGGAAAAGGGGTGGCAGCGCCGAGAGCGGTCCGTGGTGTGCGGGCGGGCTGGCGTGCCGCGTGTTTCTGTCAAAAAAATAACAACAAACAAAACCAAAACCAAACAGCACTCGAAATGTTTCCCTCAAGAAAAGTAAAAGCCTTTTTTTTTTTTTTTTTTTTTCCTCCCTCTTTTATTATGCAGCACTTTGTGCTGAGGTCCCTGCGCGGCTCATAGAGCCACGGAACCGCGGTGATGGAAACGTGGAAAACACCGCGAGTGGGAAAGGACCCCGCAGCTCCACGCAGCACCAACCCTGTTCTGAGAGCCAGCGCTGGGGGCCGTGCCCACCTCCCTGCTGGGCTCAGCCTTTCCCCAAGCCCACCTTACCCTGCTCTGGTGGAGCTCCATGCCATCAGACCCTGTTGCTGTCACCAGGGAGAAGAGCTCAGTGCTGCTCCGCTCCCTGTGGGGAGCTGCAGGCTGCCATGAGGGGCTGCAGGCTGCTATGAGGGGCTGCAGGCCATCATGAGGGGCTGCAGGCCATCATGAGGAGCTGCAGGCTGCCATGAGGGGCTGCAGGCCATCATGAGGGGCTGCAGGCTGCCATGAGGGGCTGCAAGCTGCTATGAGGGGCTGCAGGCCATCATGAGGGGCTGCAGGCTGCCATGAGGGCCTGCAGGCTGCCACGATGAGGTGCAGGCAACCATGAAGGAGCTGCAGGATGCTGTCATGTCATGGTTATCACGTGGCATGAGGCCACAGCCTTCCTTTGGTCCCACCTCATGCCGGGGCAGCCCAGTGCCGTGGTCGGGTTTTGCTCGCACGCCGTGTGTTGCCTCATGCCACAAATCTGTTTTTCTCCACTTGGAAGCAGCCTGCAGACTCCCAGCGCAAAACTGCCTATTTTTAGATGCAGAATAGCAAATGCAATCAGTCGATTGGGCAGTGCACACAGATATCACCAGTGAATAGGTGTGCAGCTGTGGTCACATATTCAAGGACTCGCACAAGGCACGTCCTGCTTGGCATTCATTCCTTCCCCCAGTAGTCTGGGTCCTGGGGCGGTGACTGAGAGTGGTGCAGCTGCAGTAGTGGGAAAGGAAAGGTTTGTGGGGAACTGTGCTTCCCCTCAGCCAGGGGAGAGCATGCTTTGCCTTGTTCTTGAAGTGAGAGATGGGCGCTGCGGGCTCTGTGCTGTGTTTTAGGGACTCGGTTGGTGAGTCAAGATTAAAAGAGTGGAGGTGGATGAGGTGGAGAAGGAGTGTTGGAGGATGGAGCACTGCGAAAGGAGGCATGCTGCTGAGGTACCTCCCTCCTCTTCCTTCTTTTCTGCCACACCATGCCGAGAACAGATAGAGCTTACAGCAAAACCTGTGGCCACTACTCTCCTTTTTATGTGTCGTAACATCTGAATGCCTCAGAGGAAAACAGAATTGCTTGGCAGTGTCTTTTCCATAGCGTGTCAGTGAGGCTGCTGAACACCACTGCTTCCCTGATCAGGACTTGAGCAACCAGCGGGCTGGTCACTCTTCAGTCCCAGTACAGATGGGATGTGATGGGTGGCCTTTCTGCGCAGCAGCCCCGGTCCATGGGGTGGTTTGGGGTGGGAAGCTGGTGGGACTGCATCCCTGAGAGCGTTATGCAGGATTCTTGCAAAGTGCAGCTTTTTGCTTCCCACCAGGCCTCTAAAGGACATTGCTGCACAGGTAGGGTGGAGGCTGCTGTTTGTGAAGCTCTCTGTAAACAATAAAAAGAGAAGGTAGCATAGCTTTCTGTGTGAACTCCTGTAACATCTGTCATGTCTGTGCCCAGCCCTCCATCTTTCCATCGTTCTCTAGCAGTCTTGGTTGCCGCAGTGGAAATGCATGCTGTGCACTGGGGCGGGCCCTGTAACCCTTCCCAAACACAAGGAAGGGTAGAGTCACCTTGGAGGCAGCTTCTGCCACCACCTTCTTGCTCTGCAGATTTTAACTGGCTCACAGCACGTGTGCTCGCTCAGATCCCTCTGCTGCTTATGCCTGGAAGTAGAGGAGGGTGGTTCTATCACCCAGGCACAGGACTAATGAGCAAAGTCATTAATCATATAATCAGTCATTTTCCTCCTACCTCTTCCCTCCTCCTCTCCATCCCTCTGACCTTTCTATCTGGCCTCTCTTCTCCCATCTGATGGGTTCTGCTGTCTGTAATCAGAGGTGGAATTTAGCAACCAGACTGTATCTGATAGGAATGTCTAGGTTTGGGGCATCCTCTGTGGGAGCACAGGTGGAGAACTGTGGCATGAAGAAATTCCATCTGTGGAAGAGGCGAGCCATCAGTTCAGCCATTTGCCATGATTGCTGTTTGCAGCCTCCCTGTGCACGGGGAGGATGGCACATGTGTGCCATGCTGGCAGCCATGGGGCTGTGCCCAGCCCTTGTACTGGAAACCACAGTGCATCTTCCATGTACTTTGTTCACTTGAGCAGCAACTGGGAAACAGCAGAGATAGCAAAGCAGGCAGTGAAGGCACTTGGAAGCAGAGCAGATGCGAACCTGAACTTGAATGAGATTTATGTTTGCAGGCTTTTGTGCTGTGCTGCAGGCCCTCAGTGACAAACCTCAGCATGAACCTGCTGAGCTCCAGTGTGTCACTGGGGTGAGCTGAGCATGGGGAAGGGATTGCTCCCACCTCCCAGGGCTGCCTGGTGGTGCAGCTGGGGCCCGATTGGATGCAGTTGTGGGTCTGGGTGCAGCAAGTTCTGTCTGGACCTTTGGGTTCTGTTGTCATGTTCATCACATGAGGCTCGTTCAAGCCCGTGGTCTGGAAGAATCTCTGGACACTGGGCTTACATTTGTGCTAATCGAGCCATATGTTGGTTGCAAGCAGCAGTCAGAGCTGGGTGCTCGCGGAGGGATGCTGACGTGGGGACCAAAGTTGGGTGGGCAGCCAGTGCTGCTGGGGTGATGCGGGGCTGTGTGGATGCGGTGGGGTGGAATGGGTTCACGGCCACCGCCATAACACGCTCTGCCATTCAGGAAAGCTCCCCGTGGGGTGACAGGGCGTGATCCACACCCGTGGGTCTCCCTGGAAGGGAGGGCTGGTGCCTGTCGTCCTGCTCCGTGCCACCAGAGGGCAGCAGGTCCTCGCGGAGCTCCGGCCACCGCTGTCCCGCGGGGATGGGGACGGCAGCCCGGCGCCATGGGGTTCCCACGGACACCGGCCAGCAGCAGCGGGGCAGCCCTCGTGTGCTGCTTCCCTGCTGGACGGACCGTGCTGATGCTCAGACCTAAGCTGCAGGATGCCGTGCCACGGGGCGGCTGCATGGCCTGAAAGATGAGGAGCAGATCCCACAAGATGGGGAGTGGTTTCTCAGGGATCCCATGCTCCTCACAACCCGTGCATGTGCACGGTGCACGCAGGCACTGCTGTCTGCTTGGGGTTCAGCTGTTACAGCGTGCCCTGCTTGGCAGCAGAGACTGGTGCTGTGCTTCTTGTATACAGCAGTGCGGTGCTGCATCCCCCAGCATTCACACCCCCACTCTCCTTGCCGTGCCCATCACTAGCACTGGGCAGCCATAAAGCTGGCTGAGCTCCTCACAGACCTGTTGGATCCTGCAATGACAATATCTCACTGCAGGAGAAATTCCCAGGCAAACACAGCTATTGATTTTCTTTCTAGCTCCCTTTCGATGGATTTGCCGACAAACGGGTTGTTTTTCTATCCGGTAACAAACCAGCAGCCTGTGCCAGTGAATCTGTATCAGCCATAAATCCCACCCTGCCCATGGCAGCAAGGCCTGCACAGCCAGGGGGAGGTGGAAGGGACAGGTGGAGCAGAAATAACTCAGCCTTGTTAGGAAATGCAAAGCCCAGCTACCAGCTTTGTCCTGGCAGAGCATGCTGTTGGTGTCAGTGGGTTAACTTGGAGGTATCCCTACCAGGATCTGTGCCGTGAATTCTCTGTACAGCTTCAGCTTGTTCCAAGCTTTCCTGCTGCTGAAGAGCTGCCACATCTTTCTCCTGATGCTTCTTGTGGGAAGCTTAGTGATCCCCAGTTCTGGAATGGCTTGGGATCTTTTGGCAAAGTGCAGTATAGAGTGCTGGACTGCTAGCAAAACCTGCTCTTCCTGGGAGCTCTCAAGGCAAAGCAACACTCCAGTACAAAAGAGTTACGTGTTGTATTTGGTTTTTGCTCTAGTATCATCGTTGTGCTTCCCTCTGGTCTAAGCACTAGGAGGTGCTGCTGTTAATGCTGTGAGCACTTCCCCACCCCTGTAGCTGAGCCCTGGTGAAGCACAGGGGCAGAGCTGTGCACTGGAGCAGGCGATCAGAACTCTGCCCACTCTGTGCTGCTCGCCCTCCTTTCTTACACAAGGTTTGACACTTAGCGGAAGGTTATTTTATTTGTTGTGCTGTCGTTGTTTCTTTTTCTAAATACATATTTCAAGCAAACAAACAAACTAATAGATCCCACAAGTTGCCGTGATGCATCTAACCACATCCGCAGCCCTGTGCTTCCAAACAGATGTTGCCAGGACTCCCTGAGCTGCCAGCAGCATTAGTGAAAGCATGTTCAGATCCAGGGGCTGATAAGGAATCCCCCTGCCCTCTGTTCCCTGCACTGCTGAGCCTTGCCATCCCGCAGACTGGGTCAGGGCAGCACCCATAGCATCACCTGCAAGGCCTGTCCCTGGGAATTGGGCTTTGGAAGAGCGATCTGAGCGCTCCAGGAGGACACCCAGTCGTGCACGGGGCTTGTGCAATGTGGACCTAAGCAATGAAGGTCAATAAAGTTACTCAGGACTTAGCCCAGCTTGCAGTGAAGACAACAGGAGCATTTCTGTTGGCTTCCCTGGTAACTGGGAATGGCATTTTAGTGTTATGTTTTGGTTCTGGTTCTGATTCTCTTTAACCCAACAACAGAACCTTCCCTTGACTTCATCAGGAGTAGAATTGGGCCGTAGGTTTTTGAGCCTAAGAAGAAGCCAGCAAGCTGTTGTGTCAGCAACAAGCCAATAAAAGCCAGAGCAATCCTCCAGTGGTGTGTGAGGCTTCTGCAGCTCCCCGTTGGGTTTCTCTATGGGGAGTGGATCCGTGCATGCAGGCAGCCAGGCAGATACCTCAAAGCCATCTCTGAGGGACAGGAGAGGGAGGCACAGGGACCCTTCAGCTCTTCTTTGCTTTAAGTTGCAGTGGCAGGTCCAGGAATAATCTCATGTGCTTGAGGGGAAAATATCTCCCAGATTTCAGTAACCTAATTTTGTTAGGACTGTTCTTAAGCCCCTAAAGCTCATTCCACAAAAGCTACCAAGGATTGCACTCCAGTGCTGATGACTTCCAAGACTTGTCTGGATGAGAGCTGGTGATTTGGCAGTGAAGCCTATTTCCTTCTGCTGAGCCATGTCCTATTTCATTTTCCTTATTTGGAGTTGTACCCAGAGCCTTTTCGATACAAGGGAGCACTATGAATTAGTTCCCAGCACATTGAACTGCTAACTTCAGCTGCAGTAACCCCTTACGTCCCCAGGAACCCAATCTACAAAGCACTCCTTTTCCCCTTAGCGACTGGAGCTTCAACTGCAATAAAGAGGATTAAATGCAGACACCCGTTTCCACCTTAGCTATGAAGTCTGCACTGCTGACAAGTCTGCCATGAGTAACCTGGCTCCACGATCAATCTTCTGTGGCTGAGAGCCTGGCTGCTCTGCGAGGGGAGCTGTGCTGTGCACACAGCCTCCCTGATCAGCTGCTGGTTTTCTACCTTTTTTTGCAGACCTCTACTTTTCCACCACGCAGCTCCATTTGGTGACTGCTGCTCCTGAAATGGCTTTACCCAACCTGCGTTTCCATTGAGCCCTCACCTCCCTGCCAGCCTCTTTGGGGAGCTCTTTAAGCCACCTCGTCCACCATGCTGGCCTCAGCACCTATTTCTGGGAGCGATGGACAAACAAGGGGTCTGGAAGTGCAGGACATGCTGGACGAGCTCGTGTTCAGGCTGGGTTCCCTTGGAATTAACTCTCTCCTTGCTCAGGGTTGTTTTGCTCCTTACCTCTGCTTGCTCATTCCAGAAGCAGCGAACAGCTGGGGAGGCCAAAGGAAGGCTGCTCTTCCTCTTCTCCATCCCAGTCCACACGCCTGATTTGTATTCTGAGGGCACCTGAGAGCAGAAACACCATGTGCAAATGTATGGTGTGCCCCATGCTTGGAAGTAGAGGAGACACCGGCTGTGAGGCACAGAGCAGGGAGCTTAGGCACCTCAAATAAAGCAGTCAGATGTGGTCAGGAGCTTGGCCATCCTACATGGCCAGCCAGTAGGTGCCAGCACTTTGTAGCTGTCGAGACCACAATTCAGGAAGGAAAGTCTGATATCCTATTGCCAATCAAGAGATAAGTGATTCCACTTTCTCTTCTGTTATCATGTTCTTCCTTAGAGCATGTCTCAAAATTGCTTCCCCTGGAAGATTTCTTAAATAACTGCTTGACCTCTGGTGAATCAGCTTTGCAGCCCAGAATAGTTATTGTTGTCTCCTTCTTCTAAATGTGGTTTAGTAGCTGTGTTAAAAGCAGAGTTAGCATTATCCAGAAGCAGGAAGAGGCTCATGACTTCTCCTCACAGCTTTCCTCTTTGTGAGCTACCCAGTTGAGCACAGTTTGATGGCTTACGAAGCTTGAAGTTGCCTGGAGCCATTCTCCCAGAAAATAATCTGTCCAAGAACTAACTCTGAGGTTCTTTTTCCATGTCTGTGTACACCAGTGTCTCCCTAGATACTGAGACACCTCCTTCACAGCTTTGTTTTAGTTTATCTTAGCAACTGTCCCCCTCTAATTCCATTGAAGATGAGTTGGTTGGAATTTGCTCCTTCTTCCCATGGCAGCTTTGATCCTGTGCATGTGAGTGTTCTCTGACAGCCAGACAGAAGGGGAGGGGCTGTCCCTAGCCTGAAGGGCTTCAAGAATAATGAATGAATACTGTGTTTGTATTTCTAATTGATAAAGTGCCTTGCCAGATCAGCTGCATGTCGGTGCAAGCCAAAGGTATTAAGACAAAGCTCATTCCTGTGCAGCTCCTTCTTGGGAAGGATGGGGAAGTTGCTGCTGAAGGCAACAGCTGTCTCCTTGTCCAATGCATGGTGATGGGTGTGCTATTTAGGCACAGGATGAGCAAGGTAGCCTTCTGTAGGCCCATCTCCAGGCTATGGCGGTCAGCTCTCCTTCTTGAGTCAACCCAAAAGGAGATTCTACCATTACAGTTTCAACAGCAGTGTAGAGCACCAAGATGGGAATCTCGACTCTTCTTGTCAGGTACCTCCAGATGCAATGCTTTCCTGGACCTTAGCAAGCATTCAGGCCAAGGAAAGTCAGGCTCTGAGTTTGTTTCCTTATGGATTAGACCACTGGTAAGTTTCTCTGTGGGTTTCAAAGTCTTGAATAGTTCCCCAAAACAGCACTGTCACAGCTTGGTGTTAGAAATAACTCTGCCTGTTCCCCCTGCAGTGAGATTGTTCCGTCTCTTACCTCCCTGCCATGGGTGTTCATGCTACACTGAGCCCATTTGCCAGCCCGCTTCAGTTCTCAGTGCCCTGGCTTATGTGTCACTCAGACAAAGGAGCAAAGGACTGCAGGCACTGGAGGGATCTGGTGTTAGGGCAGCGCCAGGACACTTGGCACCCTGTCCCATCTCCTTTGAAGAAGGTTCTCTTTGACAGGAAAGATATTCTTCAGTGGTTTTGTTTCATTTCAAAGTGTAGAAAGTGAAGACACAAGTCACGAAAAAGAGGAGAGAGAACTCAGTCAGTTCCATCACTCTACAAGTGTGTGGCTGGAATGCTCCCACTTTCTACCTACCTGCGAGTCCTGTTTTTCTCCTTCTTTCCTTGACCTTTCTGGTTTCCTGCTCCCACCTGGCCCATACCTTCAGCAGCTGCATTTACCCCGGCTGCAGTGAAGTTTGGGTTTGGGGAAAGGATTGCACTGTGATTTGTTTAACGCTGTTTATTCTCTTTCTAAACCAGAAACAACTGAGCTGGGGAACAAGAAGGAATTGAAATCCATGCCGTTCATCACCTATCTCTCGGGCTTGCTGACAGCGCAGATGCTTTCTGACGACCACCTCATCTCAGGTGTGGAGATCCACTGTGAGGAGAAAGGGCGCTGCCCATCCACGTGCCACTTGTGCCGGCGCCCAGGCAAGGAGCAGCTCAGCCCCACGCCGGTCCTGCTGGAGATCAACCGCGTGGTGCCCCTGTATGCCCTGATCCAGGACAACGACACCAGGGAGGTGAGTGAGCTGATGAGGGACTGCTGCGAACCTTCCAGTCACCGCCTCTTCAGCTTGCCTTCCTCAGTCTTAGTGGGCCAGGACCGACCGCTGAGGATCGACAAGGCTCTGTTGAGGTTGCACCTCAAGTTCAGTTTTGTGCTCCTTGCTGCAAGAAAGACACTGAGGTGCTGGGGCACATCCCAAGAAGCTGATGATGGGTCTAGAGAGCAGGTGTTATGGGGAGCAGCTGAGGGAACTGGGATTGTTCAGAGGGGGAAGAGGAGGCTTAGGGGAGGCCTTACTGATCTCTACATCTCTGCTTTGGAGCAGCATCAGGGTAGTGCTAGAGCTGATGTCCTTGTGCCACCCTCAGCCCTCACAAATGTGCGTCTCTGTGCCTGCATTGCAGCAACATCAATGCTGTGAGCTGGTGCTGTAGGTGTTCCTTTTGCCCCTCAGGTCACAGTAGCTGGGCCTCAAGCCCCTGTTTCCTCTGGGATGTGCTGTGTCAGGAAAGCCCAAAACCCTGCTGGGCTCTGCACAGCACAAGTGCAGAGGGATAAGCAGCCCCTCGGGACAGGCCCGCAGCCACAGGAGGTCACTGTTACTCCAGGAGGGACTAGCAGAGCTGGAGGTGACCCTTCGTTGGGGCTCGGCTCCTCTTCCTCCTGTGAGAGCTCCATTGTTAATCATTGGTAAATTTATTTCCCACTTTCTCTGTTCCCTGCAAGCCCCCACTTCTCTGTGCGGCCCCCCAAACCCAGAAATGACAGACCTGCTTAAAGTCACTTATTAGCACTGAGCCTGCACTTGATTAAGATGCTTGGAGTGAGCCAGTGTGCAGCAGCTGTGGGTGGGACAGAGAGGGCTGCAGGTCTGGAAACAATCCTGGCAAATAGAGGTGTGACCACCAAGAATGATACTTCCCCTCCACATTCCCCCCAGATCCATGGGCAAAAGAGCTCCTATTCTTTTCCTGGCACCCTTATAGGGACTATCCTTTCTTGTCTATACCTTGATCTTGTTTCTGCTCTTCCATCTATTAACCCCCCTCTGCTTCTTCCATACAGCCATGCCTGACTTCCCTAATTCTGTTCCTCTGTCCTTTGAGCATCCCCAGACACCCTTTCTCCCTCTCTCCTCATGCTTTTCCCATTTCTGTCTTCTGCTTTCCCTTGTTCCACTTTCACTTGAGAAGCTCTCCATAGCCTGCTTGGGACTGGTCCCCTGAGCCCTGGCCATGGCCACACTGGTGCTCCTCCAGTCCTCCCAGCAGCCCTATCTTGCTGCCTTCCAGAACTCCAGAGACCTGGCATGGCTGTATCCACAGCAAGGACCAGAGTCATTTCTTTCTCTCTGCAAACAGAGCAGGTATTTCAGCAGAGTCAGAGCACCCACTGTTTGCACTACCAGCTCCTCTTCCCAGCCCCTCTCCCAAATGGCACTGCCACCCTGCCATGGCTGGAAGGTGTTCTCCTCGTTCTGGGGAGCCAGAGCTGCCTGTCCCCAGCAGCAGCCTCCTCCTTCCACCCTGGCTCACTGGAGAGCTGCTCCCATCAGCTGCAGCTGGAAATCAGCCTGCATTGTGCTTTCTGCTGAAGCACTGGGAAAAAAAATAAACAGACAAACAAAACCCTGAAGATGCAGCCAAACAAGGGAAGCCCTGGCCATCTTCTAGAGGGCTGTGCTAGCCCGGTGCCTGCTGTCCATCACTGCAGGAGGAGCTGCTGTGCAAAGTTCCAGTGCCTGCCCAGAGCCTTACTAGCTAGGACTGTGCCATGAGTAGAGCCTCAGCAGGCTCAGTGATGGAGATATGTCTGAGACAGAGAGCCCAGGAGAGGGTAGGAGGCTGTGTGCTGTTAGAGGCCACCAACTCTATAGTGCCAACACGATGTAAAGCCATTCGTTTAAATTTCTTCCTTGGTTTGTGCCTGGGAATCGATGCTCAAGGGGTGTGTGCTGCAAGCAGCACCCGATACAAGGCCTGGATAGTGAAACATCCTTTTTCAGCATCAGTTTGAAGGCTGGGGGTGGTCCCAGGCACTAGGAGAGTGATATTTGCCTGTGGCATAAACAAGATGTGGAAATGTCTGGGATGAGCACTTGGATAATGCAGTTTGGGGCAGGGGAAGTTCCCTTTGTCTAGGGAGGTGGCTGTTGTGGTGGCAGTCTGGGGACATGGCTTGCACAGCCACCTCCTACCCACCCACCCTACCCACCCCTACCCACCGCATACAGCAGCTGCTCCCCTGCCTGCTGCCACCCATTTCTGTGTATAATAATCCATGAAGCAAATGCTGACTGTATGGGGACTGCAAGCAGATCCCAATTCTCTCATAGTATTAAAAAAAAAAAAAGATGAACAATGAAGACCTTTCTCTTTGTGTGTGCTTATACATAGCTAACTATGTGTGTGTGCAGGAAGAAGGTAAGGTAAAACAGGGAACCAAGAAGGTGAAACTGATAACATGGATGCAACATCTATCATGTTCCCTGGAAACTTTCCACTGTAGGCCTAGCAGCAAGAATATAGGTAAGATTAGGTAAAGAAACTTTGCTCGCAGTTTTTAGGAGGTGTCTTTTCGTCTACCTAAAATGAAAAGATAAAGAGAGCTGTGCATTCCTTCATATCTGCAGCTACCACACGTACTGGCCTTGTTCTCAGTTTCTGATGACCTTGCCAGACTTTTAAGTGCTTGGTTTATGTTTCCAGGCGGAGCGTCTGTCTGCCTTGGGCTGATTTGTGATTTTTGTATGTGTGTATGTTTGATTTCAGCTAAAACTGACCATTTGCAAGAGAGAGATTAGGTGAAAATATATTGCTTTGCCCATATGAAATAAGTTGGAGAACTATTTCCATGTCACTGAGACTGGCTATTTTCTTCTCGTCTCAAAGCAAGGACTTGGAATTTAGAAGAGATCCAGAAGTCAGGTTTTGCCTCTTGCTGCCCAGGGAATGTTTGTCCAAGGCTGTTTGTGCTGTAAGCTCCCAGCTGTGGATGCTCAGCAGGAGTTTTGGTTTATGGTTGCAGTGCTGTTCAAAGCCTCTCGTCAGCCCCCAGCAGTGTGAATGTGCATGAGCAGTTCCACTAGTGTCTGGTGCTGCTGCAGCCGGTCCTGGCCAAGCACTGCTTCCAGCACCAAAGGGATGGGCTCGTTGGGGGCCCCAGGCTGGGTGTTGTATGGCAGCCCCTCTTTTCCTCCTGGTGTGCAGTGAAAGCTTTGCAGACTGAGCCTCTGTGAGGGAGTGCCCCTATTTGCCTCTGTGGTTCAGTATTGTTAGTCAGGGAGCTGGTGCAGCCACTGGGTATACCTAGGGTCTGTGCTGGAGCAGGGGATGTCCCAGGCTGTTCCTGCCATCCTAGGACACGTGGCATTTCTCATTTTGCAAGTGTTTTCTAGGACAATCTCAGTTGCCCCCTTGTAGGAGCTCAGAGCTCTTGGGGAGGGAGGCAAAAATAGACAAGGGTCTAGGAAGTACTAGATCTAGAAAGACAACTAGAAAGACAAAAGGGTCAAGGAAGTACTAAATCCAGGTACCTTCTGAAGGGCTTTGTTGGGTGGTGAGATCAGATGAACACAGGTTGGTTTCTGGCAGCATTACCATTGCAGAACCACTCCCTTCAGTCTACACTTGGATGCTCAGGAGATGTGACCTTGGCAGTGGCTGCACTTGACATCCCTGGATCCTGCATCATGTTTCAGCTTATGGATGCTAATCCCATGTCTCTGTGCTCTGTAGCAGGCACCAGTTTGTGGTAAAGCAGTGATCCCTGCACTGCCACATCCAGATGACTTTGAAGGAGATTCTTCACAGCAGGGTTGTGGAAGAAAGCTTAAGTCACAGCAATGGCTGCATGGTTTCCCTCTACTGAATGTCGTGAAGCTGGAGGAGAGCAGAACCACACATCATCATAGTGCTGGGGGTGGTGACCTTCCTCTTCCTCGCTGCCCCATCAAAACTTCCCTGCCTGCCTCACCCCATGGGATAGTGAAGGCAGTTCTTCCTGCCCTGGAGCAGCCCCTGTCCGGCAGCACACTGAGCAGGGGGAGGTGGAGAGTGTGCTGTTCTCCCTGCTTCCTTCCCTCTGAAACACAGAAGCCCCACAGCTTGTGTAGAGCAGCTGCAGAAGTGCTTAGAGGGTGGCAGGCAGGAGAGATTAATCCCACCCCTCATGGGAAATGGGCTTGAAACCCCATTGCTTGTTATGCAAGGAGACAAATGAACATTGAGCTTGGATTTTAGAAGACCCCTAGGACCTTTGCTTAATCTGCAAATGGTGTAATTTCATCATTAATCTGCAGACATAGCCTCCTCACAGCACACCCAGCGGAGACAGCAAACTGTCCAGAACAGGAGTATGGGTGGTGGTGATGGTGTGGCAGCAATTTGACAGCACTGTGGAGAGCAGTGTCCCAGTTCCTCCATGCTCATCCTGGAGGCACACTTTGCTCTGTTGGTTGTATCTCAGCAGCAGTGCAAAGCACTGATAACGGGTTTTGTTATCTCCTGTTAATGGTGTTTGGTCAGATCTCGGGGTCAGGGTTACATGGCACTTGCTGCTGGTGTGTGATGGGGCCATGTACTGGGAGCGCTTCTGTGCACTTCAGCCAGCACTCACCTCCCAGAACAAGCTCAGCACATCACGTGGTGAAACGTCCCTTGTCCCTGTTGTCACCACCCACCACCAGGCAATGGGAAGCCCACACTGATTTATGCAGTGCTGTCTCTGCAGGTGCTGAGCAAGGTGCTTTCTGCGTGTCCCTGCTATGGGGACAGTGCCCTCCAAGGGCAGAGCAGGGGAAGTGCCCTGTCAGCACAGATCCTTCCCTGCCTTTCCCCGGAGCAGCCTCAAAGGCGTGGGGAGCTGGTGCCAGGGATTGCTTTTTCCACTGCCAAATCTGAAAGGGAGCCAGAGCGAGGGGGGGCAGTGTTTGAATTGTTGAAGTGCAGTTTATTTTTGTTGCTTTGGTCTGGATTTTGTTGTTGTTGCTTTATTTTCACATCTGTTAATGGGCCGTTGTCCTCCTCACGCCAAAGCCCAGCACTTGTGCATCCTGATGCAGCCCTGCCCCACATCCAACTCATGTTAGCTGGGGAAGAATAGAGGCATTGTAACCACCTGACTGTGCTGACGGGGAGCTCTGGAGCCGAGGTGTGAAAGTGGAGCTTTCTGGGCCGGGATGCTCCCTGCACCACCAGGTTTCAGTGTCCTCTGCTGCTCTCTTGCTTCCCATAAATAACAGAATCCAGGATGCTGCCCGCCCTGGGTCCCTGCCAGTGCCCTGACCTTTCTGGCGGACGCTTCCTGGGATGAGGTGATGCTGCTCTCTGGGGACAGGCAGCAGGGTGGGAGCGGCGCAGATGAGATCAGCTGCCAACAGCAGCAGTGGGGAAACTTCATCCTCCTTTGCTGCAAACCTGGAGCAGACACTCAGACGCGAGCTGCGTGATCCTGGAAAGAGTCTCTGGCCTGGGAAATCCTTCATTTTCCTCCTCATTTTTGTTTTTTTTCCTCTTCCTAGAGATGTCTAGACTGCTAAGGAGCGGCATTTATCTCCTGTGAGCGGCATTTCAGCAGAAGGGCATGGAAAGCTTTTCTTCCAGCCACCCTCTCATAGCGTCCCGTTCTGCCTGCATCCCACGCTCTTATCCCCCTGGTGGCACTCAGTGCAGCTGGGCCAGGTGCTCATCAGCCATGGAGATGACCAGATCTCCAAAGCCAGCTCAGCACCAGCGCACACCCCTTGCTGTGCCCCACCTAAAAGCAGCAGCCTCCGTGCTGATTCCTGCCAATGCTGCTCTGCAATGTTCTTCCATGTCCTGTAATTTTTCTCTCTGAGGATGTCATCAGAAAACCCACAGTCAGGAAGAACTCGATGCTTCTCCCTCCATCAGCCAGGTCTAACAGAGGACAAAGAGGAAATGTTCTTCTCTGTTCGCTGCAGAGCATCTGAGCTATAAAACGGGGCCAAATGGCCTCCCCCTGAGCACAAATAACAACAGGAGAAAGATCCATATGCAATCGAGTGTGGGATAAATGTGCTTAGCTGATCATTCATTTCCTTAATATTTTTTTTATGAATAGGCTTAGCTTATGGTAAGATGGGACTTTATGGTCCTGTAAGTCTTGCTCGTGTCAAAACAAATGAACTAGCCATCCTACAGGGGAACTATCAATCCAGTATATGTGTGTGCATGGGTGTGGGGAGTCAGACCTATTATACCTTTAAGAGCAAATTAGATGCTGTTCCTATGATTCATAATGCTATATATCTAATGGCATGACTCGTCATCTAGAAAATAAATGTTTCAAGCCAGTTTCTCATCTCATAAATTTCCCCTCTGGCACTGAAGGACATAAACTAAATGGGCTGACTCACAGGGAAACAATACAATTTGGATACTTGTAAATGAACGAGAGAATTGCTGTAGGGCATGGGGGGCAGTGAGGGGCTGGGGAGCAGCAGGCAGGAGTGGGGCATGGCCACCATCACCTCCAGTGGGCACTGCTGGTGCTGGGAAGCCCTTCCAACTTGCAGAGTCCAATGGTTTGCCTCTGCTGGCTGCCTTGGTGTGGTTGCTATCACTGAGCATCCTGCCCAGAGAGGTGGTGGTGCCCTGTCCCTGCAGACAGCCAAGGTCAGGCTGGTTGGGGCACGGATGGTACTGTGAGTGTCCCTGCATTCCAGTGAGTGGGACCAGATGGCCTTGAAGGGCCCCTTTCAACTGAAGTGGTTCTATGATTCTGCATGACCTTACCTATTTCCTCCATCTGTTTGCTCTTGCTGCTTCCCCACCCTTCTACACAGGAGAGTCCCATACCTTCTGGCCAGACTCCCTGCTCTGACTGGTGGGGGAGGCTCTATGAGTCCATCAGCCTGTGCTTCTCCCATAGCAAACCTCCGGCAGTGGGATGCTGCAGCCCTGCTGCTGCGTGTAGGTGTGCTGCCCTAATGAGCACAATTGAAGGACGCATCGATCTGCTAACCTCGTTTGCACAAAGGTTGACACAAGGCAGATGACGGCTGCGTACCTGCAGGATCTAATTAACGTGGGGTAAGGCCAGGCAGGCACAGTGGATTGCTCATCCAGCATGGTGCTGAGCATCACAAACATAGAAAACAGAAGAGCAGCACTGACTGGCGGGTTTGGTGGAAGGGTGTGAATGGGGAGGTGGGATTTCTCCCCTGCAGGTTGTGTGGGGTCAGTGGGCAGGGAGGGAGCAGGCTGGGGTCAGCGTGACAGCAGTGACATGGGGCTTCTCTGCAGCCTGTGTTCTCCTGGGGGGGCTGTGGTGCTCCATCCTGCACAGCCCCAGCAATCCCTGCAGCCGTGCACCCACATTTATCCGTGTGCTCAGTAAGCTCTTTTCTGTCCTCTCTGTTCTCCTGTTACATTGAGGTGCCCTTTCTCACCCAGTGCCATAATTACATTCTAAAGAACAAAATCAGGTCACATTTTCTCTTTCAGTGTTTTTTTTTCTTCCTTCGCGGGGGGCGCCCCCCGTTCTGGAACAGTGCTGTTCTGTAAATGTCTGCAAGCAGAAGGATTGCAGAGGCAGGCACCTTGCTAAAGGTGCTGCTGTGTTTGGGGAGAGCGACGCAGCCCCAAACAATAGCAGCCTGACGTCAGGCTCTATTTATACCTCCTCTTTTCACTAATGTCCCTGGGACAGAGCTTTTCCTACAGTTCTCTGCTAAATGCCACAGCCCTGCAGCTGTCCCTGTCCGCTCTAAGGGCGAGTTTTATCTTGGTGAGCTGGGGTACGAGCAGTATCAGCAGAGCCAGGCATCCTCAGGCTGTGGGGTGTGGGCTGAGCCCAGACATGGGCAGGGCATTGAGGCCACTATGGCCCCAAAATGCACCAAGAGAGTAAAAGCGCTGCAGATACGTTCGTTTCATGGTGGTTATGTGGCTGTTGTTGCAGTCTGTTGTGCCTCTGGCTGTATTTTTGCACAGGAGGAGGTGCTGCGGTGATGCTGAGCCCTGTCCTGCACCGTTGGCTGAGCTCCTGGGTCAAATAGAGGGATTTCAGTGCATTTCAGCCCCAGATGGCAGCAGGTCGGTGCTGCTATTGGGGGACTGGTTGATGTGATGGGGGCAGTGCTGAGGGAAGGCTGCAGCTGGGGGAGCACCCATGGAACTTTGCGTGCTGGGTTTCTTCCAACATACCACAGTTTGTTCTTGTGAACGTTCCTATGCAAATGCATCAAGCACTGACTGGCATGCAGGAGTGCAGCAGGAATAATACCATATGAGAGGGATGGGAGTGGAGCTGTGAACTAGGGTGGGTCAGTCTGAAGAAAAGGAAACTCAGAGGAGACCTCTCTACAGCTGTCTGGAAGGAGGTTGTGGTGAGGTGGGCTTGGCCTCTGCTCCCAGGTGATAGCGATAGGATGAGAGGAAATGGCTTCAAGTTGTGTTGGGGGGGGGGAGTCAGGTTGGATACTGGGAAAAATTTCTTCTCCTAAAGAGGGTTCAAGCATTAAACAGGCTGCCCAGGAAGCGGTAGAGTCAGCGTCCATGGAGGTGTTGCAGAACCATGGAGATGTGGCACTGAGGGATGTCACCAGTGGGTACGGTGGGATGGGCTGGGGGTGGACTTGGTGATCTCAGAGGTCTTTTCCAACCTTAATGGTTCTGTGAATAGTAGAAATGTTGTGGAATCACTTCGTGCTTCGCTGGGTCAGAAGCAGTTGTGGAATGGACAGTTGTGGAAAGTTTCCCTGCAACATAAGCATAAAGGTACCCAGACACAAAGTCTTGTGTCACCCAGGGGCTCATGTTTGTGTTCCTTGGGCAGCTTGATCCTCCTTCACGAGAGGACAGGAATGTGGGGCACTGTGTAGACACCCCATCAGCACCCATGGGTAAACCCAAATCACTGTTACGAGAGAGCTAAAGCCCTGGGAGCTGCGGGGACTCACACCGGGTCACGTAGAACAGGGAGAACCCCCCATCAGTATTTCCCAAACCTGGACTCTGCGCAGCACTCAGCAGCACACAGCCAGCCCGCTGGCCACGATCCCCCCATCCTCACGCTCTCCGTTCTCACGGCAGGCTTTCAGAGGCGCGCTGATGAGCTCATATTGGTGCTCTGGGAAAGGCGACGTGATCGAAGACTGGTGCAGGTGTGACCTCAACGCCTTCGACGAGAACGGGCTCCCGAACTGCAGCCCCCTCCCTCAGCCTGTGTACGTATCCTCCTGCTCCATAGTGCTGTCCCCATCCCAAGGGATGCAGGGACACCTCCTGCTGTGTGCCACTGAGCCCGCTGCCGTGCTCCAGGGCGCCTCACTGCCTGGCTGCTGCCTGTAGGAGATCCTGGCTCTGGCTGTGGCCCTGGAAGGTTTCCTTCTAGATTTTCATCACCTGATTAGCAGGGCTCGTAGAAGGGGATTTCAAATGCTGAAAGAAATGGAATTATGGTGCAATTCATTGTGGCTTGTCAGAGCAAAAGCAAATCAGGAGCAAGCTGATGGGGAATTAGCTGAGAAAGCAGGAAGACTGGCTCCAGAGCTCCACAAGGACAACTGAGTGAGCCAGTGTTCTCCAAGGGGTATTCATTTCCAATTCTGAGTTAACAAACACACTCATGCATGTGGAGCTGGACTTTCCCAAGCCCTGTGTTGTATTGCTGCTTGCCCCATTGCAGAGGAGGCAGTTGCCTTTGTGTTAGCACAGAGCCTGGGGCTGCTCTGCTGCACCCACAGTTTCCAACCCAGGCGGGGTTTTACTGCCCAGCTTTTGCTTTTATTTTTACTCATGCCCATCAGAACTTGTTCGTTTGCAGCTGGGTAAGTTCTCAGCCACACCTGCCACTTCTCATAGCACAGTCCTGACCTTCTCTTTGTGTAAACTCAGCCCCACTGGGCTGCCTGCAGTTAAGCTGGGTCCTCTCCTGCTCCTGGGCAGTCAATCCTCAGCTCCCCATAGAGCTGCTGAGCTCTAGCAGCTCTCCCAGGAGGCAAAGCCTCCTGCAGATAGGATATGTAGGATTACAAGACCTCAGCTCTGCCAGGAGCTGGGGGGTGAGGACACCCACACAAATAGGCTGTACCCAACTGCAAGCTTCTTTTGTGCTCTTTGTGCATGCTCCTCTGCATGAAGGCGGGCAATTCAAGACTTGTGCTGCTTAGAGAGAGAATTCCTCACAGAGAAGGAGCTGAAGCTGATGTGTTCTTTGGTTTCTGCCCTTCCCAGCCTGCGGCTGTCCCCCAGTGTGGAGCCCTCCAGCACTGTGGTCTCCCTGGAGTGGCTGGATGTGCAGCCTGCCATTGGGACGAAGGTGTCTGACTACGTCCTGCACCACAAGAAGGTGGATGAGTACACAGACACAGACCTCTACACAGGTGGGTGATGCTGCGGGGTGACTCTGTGCCCTTTGGAGGTGTGTGCTGTGCTGAGCCGTGCTGGGTGTCCTCAAAGCTGTTGTTTCTGTGAAGAAAGGTGCAAGGAGCAGAGGTGTTGGGATGGCGTTGAAACCTTTAGGAGAGGTTTCTGAAGGCTTCTGCAGAGGTGGGTGTAGGACGGGAAGGAGGAAAACAAAAATGCACTGTGGTGGACTGAACTGATATGCACTTTTTGGGTAGGAGAGCTGTGAGTTGGAGTTCTTGAATGAAGCTGGTGTTTGATCTGATCAGCATGAAATGCTTCAGGATGGTGGGTGCAGGGGAAGGTCAGCCTGCAGCAGCTGAAGGGCCGCACTGGTTCCTCCCAGTGAGTGGGAATTGCGTTCCGGCCTTTGGCAAGGCACTTGGAATTACCTTGCACAGTTAGCAAAGCAATGTGAAGCCTGCAATTTTTGGAGGGATCACTTAAGCAGCACGGGGAAATGTGAAACTTCCCTGGGCTGGAGCTCAGTTTCCAGCTCTGGGCTGGGCTGAGTGCTCTGTGCCCTGTGAAGGCTTTGTCAGCAGTTCGGCTGTGCTTCAGGGGCTGCTGGGTGAGGTGGAGGGATGTGAAGGATGGGGTGGATCTCAGTGAATCAGTGATTTATTTCAGAAAATACCATTGGAGGCCTTGAGTGTTGCTACTGCTGCTTAGAAAGCCAGGCAAAACCTCCTACTGCTTCTCACTCAAGGACTTTGGGTTTAGCTCATTAAAGTGGTTCATTTGAGCGGCCAGGGGCAGCTGGTTGTTGATTGAAGCAGAGATCTGCCTTTGTGCAAAGGGCCCCAGGTGCTGGCACTGCCAAATTCCACCCATCTCTGGTGAGGGAGAATTAGGAGAAGGTTTCCACCTGTGGTTGAAGTGAGAGTTTGCAAAGCCCAATGGCTATTGTGATTAAAAACCTCATTTGGTTAAAAGTGGGGCTTTCTCCCGTGCTCCCTGCCAGCACCTGCTTACCGAGCTGCCCAGTGCAGCCCCAGCCCCAGCCCCGTGTTTCTAGTTTCCTTGTCTGGAAGAAGGTTTGCTCTTCATCTCAGAGGAGCAAATTCCAATAATGGAGAAAGAAAACAAGCCACCAAAGTGCTGTGTTTGGGATGGGGATTCCAGATTGCTCACACGTCGGTCAGGTGAGGCCAGACCAGGGAAACATGGGGTTGCTCCTTTGAAGTGGCTGGAGCTCTGCCTGGCAGCCAGAGTAGGAAACACAGATTATTATTTTTTTCTCTTTATGACTGCCATGTGTTTGACAGGCCATTGAATTCACTGTGAGGAGCTGCCCTCCCCTTTCCCCGCTCTGGGGGACCATTCAGGACACAATGACCCCATTAACAGTTAAAGAGAAAAGCCAATCCTGAAACTCTCCCTTATTTTTCTGCATTGTTTATAACCAAACAACATTCCTTGCTTCATTCCTTTCTTACCCTGCAGGCCTCTGATGCCAGATGACTTGATTCTCCTTCTTACCTTTATATATTTACTAAGATGCTGGTTGCTGCAGCTTTCAAAGGCTTTGCTTGGTGCCCTGCTTCACCTGACCGAAAATCCCACCATAGGTATCCCCTCACTGCCATTGTGTCTCCATCCCACGTGGGCAGTGCTCGCAAGAAAAACATTTAAAAATAATTCAACCCCAGAAGGGGGAATCCTTGAGAGAGGAGCGTTGCAGGATGTGAATCTTTAGGGGTGTTTGGTGAATATTGCTGGATCTTCCTCCCCCACCAGTCCTGTGGCTGCTGGTAGGTAGGGACAAGTTGTTCCTGTTGTTAGGAGGTGCACCCATGTGTTTGCAGAGGGTTGGCAGAAGCCTGCAAGGTGAGAAGGCTCTTGAGGATGCCATTGTTTGGTCCCTTGCATGTTTTGAGTGTAAGCATGTGTGCTGTTCACGGTTGGGCGTTGGTACAGTTGCAGCCACTTCTGACTCTGGCCTGGGGTTATGCCAACCTGCTCTCCAGCTCCATTGAAAGCTTCAGTTCTAGATGGTACCCAGCCCTGCTTTCTGCCCTCTGCAAAAACTTCCCACTTGCAAAATTCCGTGGCCTCTCCTTGCTTTGCAACTGGAGGACGCAGACATTCCCTTGAGCCAGAAAATATTTTCTCCTCTTCTTCTTGGAGTTAAGTCAGGAGCAGTGAGTTTGGGGCTGGTCTAACACTCGTCCTCCGCTCCTGCAGTGGGGTGGAAGGGGCCAGGAGCCGGTGTGGGTCAGCTGCCCCCCGGCTGGACGTGGTTTTTAAAGAGGCTTCTTACTGGTGCTTGGAAATGCACAGCCCTCGGCCCAGCTGATGTGAATAGGAGCAGTTCCCGAGGTGAACTTGTGCACAAAACAAACCACACTTTCAACACCAGAGCGCAGGGAGAGAGCGGCTCTCCACTCGGGAGCCAGCGGAGAAGACAGAGAGCAATTACATCCCAAACTGTTTATTAAAACTTGTGGAAATTACTCATAACTCCATGTGTGCGATGGCTTTGTAGTTGAGTGATGCTCTTTGTTTGAACATGAGGCTCTCGAAGAGGGTGCGAGCGCGTGTGTGTGCGCGGCCCAGCCGCCAGCGCATGATGTCATGGCTGAAGCAGGCGCTGCGCTGGAGAGAGGGAGAGAGAGAAATGTGTTTTACAGGGTGAGGTACAAACTGAAATGGCTGTGAACATCTGGAACTGATATTAGGCTTGGAAAATGTTTTCTGTCACTCCAACACTCCTCTGGAGAAAGGTTTCTGAAGTTAAGAAGCTCCGAAGGGGATGAGGGGGAGGGATGAGGGGATAACGTGACCGCTGTGCAAAGTGCTTTTTATTTCTCTGTCCTGGTTGCTGTTGCCAGGCTGTCCCTGCCTGTGTTAGGCAATGGCCTGGGTGTCATCGGTGCCCGTTGTGGTGGCCCCGCTCAGAAGGTCCCTGGGAGAGCTGAGCCCTCCACATAAGATGCTCTGGTAGATGGGACGCTGCATCCCCCAGTGGGGTGGGTAGGATGGAAGGCTACCTGCCCTGCTTCTAGCGTTGGGGGACTGGTTACTGACCATTCTCCTTGTTGTGCCTTGAACCCCTCTGTAAGAGTCTCAAGCTGGTGGAGGCAGAGCTTGGTGAGGGTTGGCTCCGTGGCTCTCCTCATCTCCAGTCAGTGCGCGTCACCCAGCGCGTCCTGCCTCAAACTACATCCAAACAGCAAAGGGTCAAACCCATGGGCATTGGTGGGAGTAGAGTGGAGTTTGTGCTGCTCTTGGGGCATGTGTTGCTGCTATGATGGTGGGGGAGCAATTTGATCCCTTTCTTGATGTTCCTCTGCCATTTCTGTGTTTCTGTGATTTCTCTGACTGCCTCCACCTAAAGAGCCCTGTGCCCAAACTTTCTGGTCTCCAGCACCAGAACAGCCCACGTCAGCATCCTCTGCCTTCAGAGACCGATCCTGCAGCCCCTCCAAATGGCTGCAACATGGAAGTCGGAGGACCTGTTCAACAGAGAAGCTGTTATCCAATGTATTCTCGTGGGTTGCAGCTTTTCCCAGTGGGGCGAAGGGTGCTTGCTCCATCTCACAGCCTCTCACACCAGTTTTCCTCCTGTTGAATGAAAGCTGACCTCCCTCATGGGAGCACATTGACTTGTGAGCAGGGTGCCAGCAGCAAGTGGTGCTGACCTGTTCTGCTTCCAGAGGGAGCTTCTGCAAAGGGGGAAGCAGAACAAATGGGCCTTTCCAAAAAGGGATCGCCCCTGGGGCCATGGTTCCTGCTGCAAGTCACATGGATTGCAGTTGTAGGAAGAGACCCTTCATCCAGAGCATCTTGTAGCCCTAGAAAGGATGGGAACAGAAACACAGGCTGCAGAATGAGCTTGTTGGAGTTCACATCGACCTTGGAGCAGGAGAATGCAGGCTTGAGCTGTTTGGATCTCAGACAGGCTCTCAGACCCACAAACACTGAAGATGTGCTTATCCATAGTCTGTGCTGCTGCTGCAGGCTTCTCTAGAGCACTGCTGTTCTGCAGAGGACTCTATGAATCCGTATCATGCCTGTAAAAGAAAGTGAAATAGGTCAAACCAGAAGCTATAGCGTTTTGCACACTTGCAAGTTGCTCTCCAAATAGAGGCTTGAGAGTATCTTATTTATAATAACAGTTTGTCAGTGTTCTTCAGGCATCGTTCTGACGTGCCTGGATGGCTGGGGCTGGATAGATACAGCTATGGTAACCATCCCTTCCACACCCTGTGTGTGCAAGCTGTGCTGCTAGTCATGTGGAAGCCAGTCACAGGCTGGAGGAAGGAGAGAAAAACCTTTTTGGCCAGAACAAATCCTGGGCCTGTCAGGAAGGAGCCCATGTGCTCTCCTTATGACCAAGTTGCACTCACGTTATGTGCCTTAAAATAGTCTTTAGGGCTCTGACTTCCATACAGGCTTGACACCAAGGAGATGATGCTGCCCTTACGAGGTTGTAGGAGTTGAGGTCAGAAGATGTGTTAATATCTAGGGTTACAATTAAAGCCAACAATATAGCAGGTGTTAAGGTTTCAATGGTTAAACCAGTTGTTGTTAAAGATGCTGATGATCTGGAGTGTGGGTGATGATACTGACTGCCTCTGTGAAGACCTTTGGAGGCCAAGCTCTATGTATCTGATGTAGGTGCTGTGTTTGTAGGTGAATTTTTGATTTCAGTGTTGGCCTGGGGGATGGAGGCTCTGTAGCTGGTGGGGGCACAAGCTGAGGCTGGAACAAGAAGCCAGGGCTCTGCTGGGCTCAGGAAGCAGTTCTTCTGTAGCTCTTTCAGGGGTCACCTGTGCATTGGACTTGATTCAGAAGGGGTCCTTGAACATCACTGGTGTGGAGAAAGATGTGATGGTGGGTGGGGGCTGAACCAGCCTTGTGCTCAGTGCTCAGTTGTCCCTGCCTGCTTGTATCTTGCGGTAGATCTCCGTGGGTTTCAGGCTGGGCAGGTACTTGGCAGACTCCAGCAGCCCCTTGGTGAGCACTGTGTTGT